CCCCAAAAGAGAGGTTGGCCCTGCCCTCAGCCCCCAGATGATTGTTATCCTTCTCCTAGTTCTCGAGGAGAAGACACTTAAAGCAATATCCCCAAAATTCCCCTTTTGGGCTGGCCCCTCAACCCTAGGTAGCAGTGTACAGTAGCGAACAGTGGCCATGGGTGATATTTTTGTACAATGAATAACCCCTGTAACATTACATGTATCAAAAGTTTAAAAAAAAATCAGCATATACATGATGAATTGGACGATGTGGGCTTCACATTTAAAGAAAAGAAAAATCGAATTTGGCTTGAGACTCCATTTTTCACCATTTACAAATCTGTGTTTACACAACAAAACCTAGCGTTTCATGTAGTCTATTTTTGTACTCAGCACATGTGTAAATATTGTGAACAATCCAGTTGAACGCCCTATGCTATAACGTGAATATTTCTGTTACCGAGTAGGTGATATTTATTTAAGATTGGTTTTAAGAAAAAACATACTACTTGTTGGGTCAAATTTTGGGTCACAAATCATGTTTTTTTTGCATTTTTTGATGTGGTAACCATGGTTTTCACACAAGTCCCAAATCTGGGGAAATAACTTTTTGAAAAAAAACAACATTTTTCTTAAAAAAAACCTGTTCAAAATGTAGTTTATAAATATATATATATATGTAGGTGTGTTGTGCAGGATGAATCCGCTATCCATGTTTATCCGAGACATGCCCTTTATTTTTAGGATCAAGCCATTTCTACTGTACTCTGCTACCTTATACACACAGACATTGAATTTTTTCAGAAAAATGCCTTTTTATGCTTAATTCAGGTTCACTTTCATTCATTATTGCTTAAAACTACTCCAAAACGTTGAAAAAGTTACATATATAGGTCAATATATAGGTTGATAGCCTATTACCTGTGGATGTATATAGAGGGGTAACTCGCCCTTTTCACAGGCACTTCACATTCATCACATATGTATTATTTGATAATTGGTAAAGTTGATACCAAACATCAAATAATTCACAGGCTATCTCCTTATGCATTCAGACTAGATTTCAGTCTGTTTCACTCAGTTCAGCAGCCGGTATCCATGGTTACTATTACATAAAGTTGTATTTATTGAAAATGTGTAAAATATCTGTTTTCATTCTAACTACACTATTTTAGATGGGGTTTTTTTCCACTTGATTCAGCATACAGATTAAATGAGCAAAGTCAGTAATGTCAATAAATTTCTGAGGGTCACTGTCAAATCTAGGCGAGAAAAGTAAATAAAGGTTGCCATGGTGGCACTTGTCTAATATTTCAGAATATCTGACATTTTGGTGCTGTTCATCGGTTACAGGAAGTGTGTCTGTTGCTAGTTTCATGTTGTGATGGGTTTCCTAGTGTTCATTTTGATATTAGTGAGCCTTGATGATGTCACAGATGCCCATTGATGACGTCATAGTTATGATGACATCACAGTTACTATGACATCATCAAACAAGACAGAAACATCATAGAATCACTGTACTGTTTTGTTTTTCACATGCACATGATCTCAAAGCATCATATTTCACCCAAAAAGACACTTTATCCATGAAAACTACAAACCTATTCAAGTTTTAATTTTTCAGATTACCTCCCTTTGTTGGTAGTTTGAGAGCAGAATTGGTAAAAATTCATCTGTCAGGAGAATTCCTATTACTTGGTCACTTTTAAAAAGAGAAAGGAAACGGATACATCATTTTGTTCATTGTGTGTCATTTTCCAGACATTTAAAAGGTTTCGATTAAATTTTCGGAAAAAGAAAGTGATGTATAAGGTAGCAGTGTACAGTAGCGTACGGTGGCCATGGGTGATATTTTTGTTCAATGAATAACCCAAGGTAGCAATTTTTAAAAAAATGCTGTACATCTCCTTCCTTTTCTGCTTCCTTCCTCCAGCGAAGTGCAGCTACGAAAGCAAGAGTAAGGCAGCCTAGGGGGCCTGCACCGGAGAGGTGGACAGCGGAACTACCGAAGGTGGCCATCAGTCCTGCTCCTAACAATAACAGCGACCGGTACAGTGTTGGGTTTTTCTAAAAATAACAACAAAGCTTTTTAAAAAAATTGCTTGAGGTTCAGAAAAAAACACTATTTTCATACTGTAGATATTACATTTTTATAGGAATACATGGTTTAGGAAAGGATGCAATCCCATCCTCCTATGTGGATTAACTCATTCACCCCTGAATTTCATAATGAACTATTCCAACCTTTGAATTGGAAGAGTTTAAATGTGTCTTCAGGGGGTGAATGAGTTGAGGTGACATTCAACATTTAACCTGTGTACGTCTCACTCCAACAACTTCATCCTTTCATCATTTCCATAACAGTGTTTGCAAACAAAATTAAACAAAAAACAGACAGCAATGTATCACATAAGATATACAAGTCATGTAACACGTAATATTGGAAACAGAAAATTGCATTAATTGCTGGAGCTGTCTATGATAAATTGCCAGTCATTATGACATGAGCATGGTTCTTTGGGATCCAGAAACAAAGAGTACCCAGGTTTTAACATATTTCTCAAATTCTGTATTTCGGGTGTATTTTATAGTGTGTCTACTCAAATTCAATGTGTTATATTTTAGATTGATTGATGACAAATTTTCAAAACATTAGATTTAGACTGTGATATTGTAAGACAGCTAGCTGTGTGATCTGTGAAGTGAAGAATGTTCCAGCATCAGCAGGGTTAGTCTCTTTTGTATAGATATGGCCTAGAATTCCTCCCAGAATGTGTGTTTTGGATAGTGAACCTGCTGTTGGTATGCTGATGTAAAAACACAGAGATAGCTAGCTCCCTGATGGTGGTGGTGGTGGTGGTGGGGGAGAGATTTGTACAATGTAGTCACTGTCACAACTTCCTGCATTTGTTCAAATTTCCTGCAAGAATGAAGTCACTACAGTGATGACAAAAATATCCTTCAAAGTAACAGTGACATTTTCCTTGGCAACCACTGAAAACAAACTATTTCAATGTATTATCCTGCATGACCAAAATATGAAGTCTGATCAAAATCCAAGCAGGATTTTTTTTTCTAAAAATTACAAATATATTGGACTGCCGAAACACAAACTCATTCCGAGTATTCTCATGTATGACCAATCAACATTTAACGTACTATTTGATCAAACTGGTGCAGGAATGAAGATGATAGAGTGATGACAAAATGTGAACAGAGGTATAAACAAAAGTATATGTGAACAGAGGTATAAACAAAAGTATATGTGAGTAGGTACGTATAAACAGGATGCTATACTTCCTCAGTAACTTTGTTGTGTGAAGGGGTATTACTGAGACATTGCTACCAACACTGATATTTCTACATTGGTTCAGTGACATATATATAACACTAATCTCAGCCCAAACATTGATAAAGTGTTTCCAGGGCTCGAATTCATGAAACCATTCCCATGCTAAAACTCAGATTCTGTGCTCAAGCCCAATGTGTTATTCCAGTGATAAATTAATCCACATTTTCTGAAAGTTTTGGACACATTTTTGAGAGACTTAAAGCCAAATACTGTTTTCAATGTTTTCGCTCGTCCTTTTGTCTAAATTGTCACATGATTTAAGCTAGTTGAAAGAAAGTTTATTTAAGAACAGAACCCATGCTTGAGCATGAGAACAGTTTTATGAATACGGGCCCAGGGCTTTCTCTCTGTTAAAACCAGTCTCAATCAAAGTTTTATCAGACACTTTGTGTTAAAACATTTCCTGTATAGTCTCTACATTTTCCTTCAATACCAGTTAGCTATAGAAGGCTTCTACTCACAGTATCTTTGGATGGGAGGTACCACAGGACAATTCCAAACACGATTCCATATACAACTCCCAACATGGCTTCTAATGGGCCCTTCACAATGGTCAGAGCAATGTCACCTGTAATGTATAAAGACTAAGTCATAAAAATATCAACAGTAACTTAGGCAACATAACCGGCACAAGGCTACCAGTACCTGTCCAAGGCTAACTTAGACAACATAACTAGCACAAGGCTACCAGTACCTGTCCAAGGCTCACTTAGACAACATAACCTGCACAAGGCTACCTGAGTACCTGTCCAAGGCTCACTTAGGCAACATAACCAGCACAACGCTACCAGTACCTGTCCAAGGCTCACTTAGACAACATAACCTGCACAAGGCTACCAGTACCTGTCCAAGGCTCACTTAGGCGACATAACTAGCACAAGGCAACCAGTAACTTTCCAAGGCTCACTTAGACAACACAACCTGCACAAGGCTACCAGTACCTGTTTAAGGCTCCCTTAGGCAACATAACCAGCATAAGGCTACCAATACCTGCCCAAGGCTCACTTAGACAACATTATCTGCACAAGGCTACCAGTACCTGTCCAAGGCTCACTTAAGACAACATAACCTGCACAAGGCTACCAATACCTGTCCAAGGCTCACTTAGACAACATAACTAGCACAAGGCTTCCAGTACCTGTCCAAGGCTCACTTAGACAACATAACCAGCACAAGGCTACCAGTACCTGTCCAAGGCTCACTTAGGCAACATAACCAGCACAGGGATACCAGTATCTGTCCAAGGCTCACTTAGAAAACATAACCAGCACAGGGCTACCAGTATCTGTCCAAGGCTCACTTAGGAAACATGCCCTGTATAACGCTACTAGTACCTGTCCATCAATATGCATCAAATACAAGCCCGGACATTTCACTTTAAGCCTCAAGAAAACAGGGCATTTCGTTAATATAAGCTCTCGCCCTAGTGACACTGATGACCGAATCTACCTCCTCCCCCTCACCTTCTACTTCCTCCTCCTCTTTACAGTCAGACACATTGAGTATGTCATTCAAAATATAAATATTGGACATCTCTGTGGTGTTAATGACATCACAATCAACATTGACGAAATCCGCCATGGTGAATGAGATCCTGGAGAGGGAATCCTCCTCCTCTGTGCTGATAAGCTGGTGTACTGAGTAACACTTTCAAAACTCTTGGCAATGTTCTCGCAGAATCCTACTTTACAAAATGATCAGGATATACAAACTGAAGTGATGTTCCTGAATGTAGCAAATATCATGCCTTTTAATGGTCAAAAGTAATTGTAACCCTGGATTCTGGTTCTGATCAAGGCACTATCAGAAATAAAAACAGAAGTTAAAAACAAAAGAGTTTTGCTCTGTCAGGACACAATTAAATATTAAAAAGTATATACTAATGCAGGAAAAACAAGAGGCGCAGTGGGCCTGCATCACTATCCTGCTATTATTCTCACATTAATTTAAGCTTAAAAGTAGAACATGGCCCACTTTGTTGGGCTCCATCCTATGAAGTTACCAGCCAAATATCTTTCCTTTCATCAAAATATGCCGTTTGCAGTTTTTGTCCTATTTGAACCCTGTGACCGTGAAAGTAGGTTGAGGTCATTTTCATTTCCTAACTTTGCCAAGCTCCATCGCAGGAAGCTACCATCTAAATACGATTCTATACCTCTCAGGCCATCAACAAAAATTGTTTGAAGTTTTTGACATATTTGAACCCTGTGACCTTGAAAGTAGGTTGGGGTAATTTTCATTTGCTTACTTTGTCAGGCTCCATCCCAGAAAGCTACCAGCCAAATATGATTCTATACCTCTCAGCCCATCAACAAAAGTTGTTTGAAGTTTTTGACATATTTGACCCCTGTGACCTTGGAAGTAGGTCGAAGTTGTGTTCATATGAACACTTTGTCAGGCTCCATCCAAGGATCCAAGGAAGCTACCAGCCAAACATTATGATTCTATACCTATCAGCTCTTCAGAAGAGGTGTGTGATGTTTAATTTATGGCATATTAATATTTGACCACCATGGCCTTGAAAGTAGGTCAAGGTCATTTTCACATGCAAACTTTAACAGGCTTTATCCCAGGAAGCTTACAGCCAAATATTAAGATTCTATCAAGCTACCAGCCAAATATTAAGATTATGTAACTTTCAGATTTTCAGAAGTTGTTTGAAGCTTTTGACATGCATGTATTTTACCCCTGTGACTTTGAAAGTAGGTTCAGGTCATTTTTTTTGGTTTTCAAACTTTGCCCGTCTCTTACCAAGGACGCTATCAGTCGAAGATCATGACTCAGCCTTTCAATTCTTCATGTGAAGTTGTTAAAAGGAAAAACTGACGGACGAACAGACAAGCTGATTCCCTTACTTTGTTGGGGTATAGATAGTAGAACCACAAATTCCTTTCTTCATGCATATTTACATACAATGAACTTTCACTGCGTCAAGTTACCAAAACAATCCCAATACATCGCTTAAGAGGAGTCGCTAACACAGATCATGGACAGATGGACCAACAGGTTGATTCCTATAAACGCTCCTCAAACTTTGTAGGGGGTATCATTATCCTACCAAGGCTATAAACGACAAGGAATCTTTCTGACATTAAAATGTTAAATGAATCAGGAACAAAGCTAGGTGGTTTCTATTTCAATTTGATGACAAAACAAGCAGCTATTAGGGGCCTGAATAGCTCACCTTGAATTTTAATTTGAAACCTATTGTATACCTTGTTAATGAAAAGATTAACAACAAGGCCCTAAAACAGACACAGGTGATGTAGTTAACGTGTTAAACACCGTGGGATCTGGCCTGTCGGAGTAGTAAGCTGTACATGTCAAACCACATATAGGCTGTCACACCTTAGATAGATATCAGGGTGTTTAAACCCACTTTATATCTATACCTTGCATACAGTTTTGTTATTAAGTATCTTTGAGTTTAGTAACACTATATCATAGAGTTACACACCTCCCCTGCTTGGTATTCACGCTAGAGTGATTTTGTAAACAAACTCTTTATCAACAGACCCCACGTGTAGCTGGCTAATTGTTAAAACACGTCAATATGTCACGAATCTGAGGGGTGAAAGATTGAAAACTCCAGGACGAAAAGACATTTTACAAGTATTTGTCAATTCTCCCTGGATACTTGTGTATCGTAGCAATTCAAATTGTCCTTTACAAGTTCAGGTTGTGTCCTAATGACCGCTTAACTGGCTTATATTACCTGAACCTAATTTCAAGTTTACACAGGAAATGTTCATTGAATACGGACAGTATGATATGTCCATGTTTCCTCACTTCAAATTAATTTGGTTTTTTTCAACTGCATTAACTCCAAAAAGGAACAAAGAAAATGAAAAGTATTGTTTTTCTCGATATTCTGAAAATATTTTTCTATCAAATACGTTATATTAAACCAAGCATAACGATAAGTTATTTTAGGAGTTCAATGTTCTGAACTTATGTGAGCAGTACGTTATAACCTAGGCTTTGGATATAAGCCATCAGTGTTTTCACAATATAATTTCACCATGTAAGATCTTTAACCCTTTCACCCCTATGTAACTTTAATAGACTCTACCATGCATTGATATGGATGAGTACATTGTGGTCTACAGTGGTGAAAGGGTTAATCCCAATCTAAGATTGCTAAAGTTGCTGTTTTGGTTTATAAAACAGTGTAAAAGAGGAGTGTTTTACACACAGGGACACCAGCATTAGGACTACAAATACATCTGTGGAAAGTCTCCGTTGTATCTCAGAGGCTTATAGAATGACGTAGCTAAGAAGTAGTGGGGTTGTATGTTCCCCGACTACCTCCTGTCTGAGTCTCGTTACAAATTGGTGTCTGAAGTCCTCTCCGATGCCACACAGAGTGAAAGAACTCAGATTACAGTGCTGTACGTTCCAGGCCAACACATTTAGCAGATATGATGATATGCCTACATAATATCAATAAAATCAAGTGATATAGCTTCAAATGAATTGTTACACTTTTAAAATTTTGTTGTGTATTTAAACTTTCAATTGAAATAACAAGAGATTAATCCAAGAGGGATCTTTGCCCCTACCATTGTAAGGTTTTCATTTGTTCTACAGTTGGGAGCAAACTTAACTTGGTAGCCTAGTGCACTGGAGTTAAGAAACGTGAACTCCAGTTCAAGTCAGTGTTAACTCCAGTTCACTAGCTTGTGCACTGGAGTTAACACTGAAGTGGACCGGAGTTCACATCGATGTTCACAAGGTTATTTTCTGTATCATATTATTTCTAGCCTTTTCATCAGTTTATACATACTATGATTTTCTCCCTTCCCGTCTGCCCAATAAATCAATGAATAAAATGAAATATTAGATGTTACCTTATTCATATACTTAAAATGATCTAAGCAGTATTCTTTTATGAAGAAAAGCATAATAACTAAAAAGCGTGTTGATCTATTACATTTTTAGCACATGCATGCACCGACTTGGATCCATGGTACATGTATAAACGTATATTGGTGGTATAAAGTTTATATTACTTTATCTCAAAGACATTATCACCATTGAAGTTCCGTTCTAGTTACAACAGCACTAGTAGTACGTCTACATTTTTATTCAAATCTATCATTATATTATTAGTACATGATAGCGAGTCTTTTTCTGTATATTCATTTTGAGAAAGAAAAAAAGCACACTGTACACCAGCTGTAGAAATTATGATTCTCTCTCTCTATCCATCTGCAAACGGAGGGTTGGAGGGTCCTGACCCTTAAAACATCCCTATGCTCCAATGATATGTATTTTCAGGGGGATGTCATTTTTTTTTTTAATTGTCACTTTGTAAATCAAGGTATCAAGTAAACTTAGACTATGTTAAAAACTAGAGCATAAATGTCTCAAAGCGGTTTGATTATTATCCGTGGTTATTTAGCCTTTGCAAAAAGCCAATATTTTTCTCAACCAGGGGAGCATATAGCCTGAGCTGCCATTTCGGTGCTAATAGCTAGCATTCAACAATTCTAGCACTGCCCAACCACATACTCGTTTACAGCTGAGTAGACTGTAACAAGTGGAGTAAAGTATCTTGCATTGCTCATAGATACATCACAGTGCTGTGCTGTGACTCGAACCCGCAACCCTTCGGTCACGAGCCCGGCGTCCTACCACTAGACTACCCTGCCCCACGACAAAGGGATATAGCCACAGTATCTTACCTGTAAGCGTGAACTGATTTACCTGTGTATATCTACTGGACAGACAATGGGCTGGATTAATTGACATGATTAATTGCTTTCACACAACGTGGTCAAGATAAGGTACAGCCCATCAGAATCCCATGTGACCACAGGTGAATGGTCAGTGGGTGGTCATTGCCCATATATTCTCAGGTAGATATCATATTGAAAATAAAAATATGTGTCGGCGGATGGTTACATTGCCCTAGCTAGCAACCATATTTAAAACTGCCCCCTGAAGTAAAGCTGTAACTGTAGGATTAAAACTTGAGGTACCCTTTGAAACGTAATTAATTTGATTTTTTATTTGTAAATCAATCAATTTATTTCTTTTTTGTACATGTATACCAACGTATATAACGTTACCTACAGGTGCTTGCACCCTGCAACCATGAATGTTGTCATGGTTTTACCAAGTGGCAATTCATTACTGTACCACCAGGCCAGCTGTATATATACTTGCTTCGTTAGTGTGGTACCCAGGGGAGGGGGTGGTGGTTGGGGGGGNGATGTTTATACATATATATATAACAAAGTAATCAAAATCAGACTAACTCATAGTTTTTTCTAAAAGCAACTTGGGATTAACAAACTTAAATGAATTACACATCTTTAAGTTTGATCTTTACCTTTTATCCATATAGTGCCATGCCATGATATAAGAATGTTCTGGAATTTTTATCTTTTCTTTACTTGTTTGTATAAAACATAGAAGCGAATTACTCTATTGATGTTGTGTTATAGAGAAACCTTTTCAAAAAAAGTATAAAATTATAGGAACATACAGTTGTATATGTTCAGTTGAAATTTTAAGTAATATATAAAAAAATAAATATTTATGGGTATTGTTTGAATGATTCTTTTCTCTTCTTTCAATTTTCATATCACAAAGGAACCAATTTCATTACAAACAATTATTGAAATATGTACTTCAGTCTTTATTAAACTTTGGTAAACACTGTAGTGAACTGAAGCACACTTCAATGTTTTGTCAAGTGCACTTCCTTGTTCACTATGTGTGCACTATGAAGTGCACTAGATACCAAGTTAAGTTTGCTCCCAACTGTATGTAAGTTTGATCGTTTCCCTTCATTACTCTTCTTTTCCCTTATCTGTTGGATTTATAACAGAAAATGCATCTTTTTACTGAAATTTCATTAAAACAAATTTTAAGACTTTTTTTTATTTCTAAGTGATGTTATTGTTTATTTTTTGAGAAATAGCAATAACAAACCTAAGCTGTCAAAATCCAAGATGGCTAACTTGCCACTATTTGTTCTCTTTGTTTAGTCCAGAGATCAAATATGCACAATTGTGGATCATGGGAAACCTGCATGAACAACATCCGTCATGTACTTCTTGAGAAATAGTAATAACAGACTAGAACTCTCAAAATCCAAGCAGGCAGCCATTTCATTTTTCCCCATGGCCATCAGTCCACAAATCAACCATGCATAACCAGGGACCACCGACGACGGACAGATGGCTGGCAGACTGAGATGAAGATTGTAGATAAGCGCTAAAAATAGGTCAAAATATGCATACGCAACATGCATTTAGTAGAGCAACGCTAGATACACAATTGATGCAAGTATAATCAACATAGCATTTGTAGTAGGCAAGATATAGATGAGAAACATTCCTTCAGGACTTTCTGAGAAAAAGTGATGACAGATTTTAACATTCAAATTCAAAGAAACTTTCATTTCCCAAAGCCTTGACAGGTGTGTCTCCCTTATAAGCCAGAAAAGATCAGCTTTTCATCTCATGCAGACCATGGAAGACAACTCAGGATTTGCTGGAAAAACTAGTAATCAATGCTTATATTTCATGTTATCATCGCTTGTCAGTGGATTTGTGAATGAAACAGGACGAAGAAAAAACAATCATCCCCTTCCTTGATGGTGTGACAGAGAAATCTCCAACCGTCGGGATGATATTCTTGAATGTCTTACCCTCTGCAAAGCCTCAGGTGAGACAATCAAGAATATCATACCTCGGGCTGGAAATTTCTCTGTCGCACCCTCAAGGTAGAGGAAGATTTCTCCAGTTCTTTCTGTGAAATAGCAATTAAACAAGAGGCCCGATAGACCTATATCGCTCACCTGGTATTAATCCCACACTTGTAACCATAAAAGTGGACTAAAATAAAGCTACAGGCAAAATATCAGTGTCTTAACTCCACGTCATTCAAAAGAATTTAACACATTTGACCCCTGTGACATTGAAAGTGACACAAGGACATTATGTTGCACAAACTTTATATCCTTTCATCCAAGATTGCAACTTGCCAAATATCACCACACTAGGCCTTGTTTATTGAGAAGATGACTTTTAAAGGCTTATACACAATTGACCAGATGTGACCTTGAAAGTGTGTCAAGGTCATTCACATGAACAAATTTCTCATTTGAACATATTTGGTAGCCCTTCATCCATGCATGTTTTAAAATTACTGGCCAAATTTCAAAAGAAGTTGTTTATAGGTTTTAAACATATATGACCCTTATGACCATAACTTTGAATATAGGATAACGTCATTCATTTCAACAAACTTGATAGCCCTTCATGCCAGCATATAACTGGCAAAATATCATCACCCTGTGCCTTTTGGTTATTCAGAAGAAGTTGTTTGAAAGTTTTTTAAGATAGTTGACCCCTGTGACCTTGAATGTAAGTCAAGGTTATTGATTTGAACAAACTTGGTAGCCTTTCATTTCGTGCATGTTACTGGCCAAATATCACCATCCTGGGCCTTTTGGTTATTCAGAAGAATCTGTAAAAAAAAAGATTTTAACATATTTGACACCTGTGACCTTGAAAAAGGGCAGGGTCATTCATTTGAATAAACTTGGTAGTCCTTCATCCCAGCATGATACTGGCCAAATACCATCACCCTATATGGGATTTGTAGAAGTATTTTCAGCAATATACCTTTTATTTTGGATACATAATTTTCGAGGATTTGCCATAAGTAATAGTCAGCTTGGCAGTGTTTCAGGTGAGTGCGTTTGATTTTTTATATCGGTTGCCGATCAGGGTGCACGGTGCATTGAGTCGCAAGACGGTCAGAATTATAACCGGTTTGACAGGTAATGCGCTTTTTATACCCAGCGAGACCCATACTCGTTACCAAGCAAAGACAAACTAAAATGTCGGCACTTCCTTAGAAACGATAGACGGAAGAGATGGGGAAGATCTCGAAACCAGCTATGTAAGCTAAAAACTATTTTCTTTAAAAGAAAGTCTGGTTTACCTGTAGAGAAGGATATTCCCAGGACTACCCCAAAGCCAGTAATGGCCAACACATCGTCGACACTGGCCGCAGCAATGACCAGTGTGGGAATGCCTTTGTCCAGGCCATATCCGCGGTCTGACAGACTCAGTAGTGAGGGAACAACTACTGCCGGTGACACTGCAGCCAGTACAAACCTATGGAAGAAACAAGAGATCCCAGATTAACGACAACCGTAAGAATTACTTCACTGCTTCTAGTTGGAGCTTTTCCCTTTGTTTCTCTTATATTGGATTTATAGCCTAGTTGACAGAAAATGCAACTTGTGGTAACTAAATCATTAAAATTTCATACAGATGGGTTTGAGAGTTTTCTTTCAAGATAAGGTTTATTAATTTGAGAAATAGTGATAACAAGCTTGAGCTGTCAAAATCCAAAATGGCTCTTTGGTGGCCATCTTGGATTTTTTTCTTCTGAATAATCCCAAAATCAAACATGCAAAACTAATATCCTTGGTGAAGATACAAAGAAAATTTTAAGAAAGACCTGTCACATACTTCTTGAGAAATAGCGATAACAAACTTGAACTCTTATAGTCCAAGATGGCTGCCAGTCCAGTACTTCTTCAGAAATAGTAACAACAAACTTTAAATCTTAAAATCCAATCAGTCTTAAAATAAAACATACAAATATCGGGACCAAGGGCAAGCTATGTATGAAATTTAGGAAAGTACTTCTTGAGTAAAAGTGATAACAATCTTGAACTCCCAAAATCAAAGATGGCTGACAGCCATCTTTTTTTTTTTTCAGTCTCAAAATTGAACATGCACAACTATGGAGGAAGGGGAACCTATTTATGAAATTTGAGAAAGATCGGTCATGCACTTATTGAGAAATAGCGATAACAAACTTGAACTCCCAAAACCCAAAATGGCTGTCTTGTGGCCATCTTGATATTTTCATTAGTCCCAAAATGAGGCATGTTCATTCCTGTTCCTGTTTGTGTTCAAAATAAACTTAGCCTTTATTATTCATATCAAACTGATGAATCTTTTTCCGAATTTATGCATATACCATTCTCAGCGAGGGGCAAGATTTAATTTCTTTACAATTAATTCACTTCAACAACATTTTCATCATAATGACTTCATACAGCTGATACCATAACAATTTTAAATAAACAAGCTTTGTGAAGATTTAATTACTATTCTCGTATCTCAGACAGAGATATCAAACATACCCCATGCTAGATTTTTTTCTATCTCCCCCGATCTGTCTGGTACCTTTATGTGACATTTCACAGATTTTTACACCAATATGTACTCATCGACACGTTAACGGCTCAAAATTGACAATTTGCATTATAAATATTCATTATTAGATTACTGATGTAGATAAAATATATAATCTACACTGTGAAATACGTCGTCTTCTTGGAAAGGACGGACTACATTTTAACGTGGAAGCATTAAAATATAGTTTTTAGTAGTGTAGAGGCCATATTAATTTCAGGCCCCAGATGGGTTACTTGTAGTTTTTAATAAAACTGAATAGTTTTTTCGAACTTAAAAGGTTTGAGATAAAATATCAATTACCTGTAACTGAGCGAGATCAATTTATCTTTGATCTGTAACATAATCCCAACCAAGGCGTAAGCTTCCTCACATGTTGTGTTAATGGAAGGTAATTAATGGTTCTCATTCCTGTGAGAAATCTATGACACCTTGTTGTTTGAGGAAGTAAATGGTTCTCATTCCTGTGAGAAATCTATTACGCCATGTTGTGTGAAAAAAGTAAATGGTTCTCATTCCTTTTGGAAATCTATTACGCCATGTTGTGTGAGGAAGTAAATGATTCTCATTCCTGTGAGAAATCTATTACGCCATGTTGTGTGAGGAAGAAAATGGTTCTCATTCCTGTGAGAAATCTATTACGCCATGTTATGTGAGTAAGTAAATGTTTCTCATTCCTGTGAGAAATCTATTACGCCATGTTGTGTGAGGAAGTAAATGGTTCTCATTCCTGCGAGAAATCTATTACGCAATGTTGTGTGAAGAAGTAAATGGTTCTCATTCCTGCGAGAAATCTATTACGCCATGTTGTGTGAGGAAGTAAATGGTTCTCATTCCTGTGAGAAATCTATTACGCCATGTTATGTGAGTAAGTAAATGTTTCTCATTCCTGTGAGAAATCTATTACGCCATGTTGTGTGAAGAAGTAAATGATTATCATTCCTGTGAGAAATCTATTACACCATGTTGTGTGAGGAAGTAAATGGTTCTCATTCCTGTGAGAAATCTATGACACCTTGTTGTTTGAGGAAGTAAATGGTTCTCATTCCTGTGGGAAACCAATATGCCATGTTGTTTGAGGAAGTAAATGGTTCTCATTCCTGTGGGAAACCAATATGCCATGTTGTTTGAGGAAGTAAATGGTTCTCATTCCTGTGACAAATCTATTACGCCATGTTGTGTGATTAAGTAAATGTTTCTCATTCCTGTGAGAAATCTATGACGCCATGTTGTGTGAGTAAGTAAATGTTTCTCATCCCTGTGAGAAATCTATTATGCCATGTTGTTTGAGGAAGTAAATGGTTCTCATTCCTGTGGGAAACCAATATGCCATGTTGTTTGAGGAAGTAAATGGTTCTCATTCCTGTGAGAAATCTATTACGCCATGTTGTGTGAGGAAGTAAATGGTTCTTATTCCCGTGTGACATTTAATACACCATGTTGCATGAGTAAGTAAATGGTTCTCATTCCTTTTGGAAATCTATGACATCATGTTGTGTGAGTAAGTAAACAAGAGACCCAATGGGCCTGAATCGCTCACCTGGTATTAATCTCACACTTGTAATCTTAAAAGCGGACTAAAATACAGCTACAGGCAATATATCAGTGTTTGATTCAAAGGGAACCTATTAAAAAAACGTATGACATATGTGACCTTGAAAGTCGAAGGACATTACATGTAAATTGAACAGACTTTATAGCCTTTCATCCCAATCTGCTTCTGGCCGAATATCATTACCCTGGACCTTTAAGTTATTCAGAAATTGTTTCAACATATTTCATCCTCGTGACCTTGAAAATGGGTGAAGGTCATTCATTTGAACAAACGTGGTAGCCCTTCATCCCAGTATGTTACTGGCCAAATATTATCACCTAATTTAAGGCCTCTTGGTTATTCAGAAGAAGCTGTTTAAAGGTTTTAAACATATTTGCAATTGACCCCTGTGACTTTAAATATAAGTCAAGGTTATTCATTTGAACAAACTTGGTAGCCCTTCATCCATGCATGTTACTGGCCAAATATCATCACCCTAGGCCTCTTGGTTATTTAGAAGAAGTTGTTTAAAGGTTTTAAACATATTTTACCCCTGTGACCTTGAAAATGGACGAAGGTCATTCATTTGAACAAACTTGGTAGGCCTTTATCCCAGCATCTTAATGGCCAAATAGCATCAACCTAGGCTTATTGGTTATCCATAAGAAGTTGTATAAAGGTTTTATACATATTTCATTCTCATGACCTTCAATATACATCAAGGTCATTCATTTGAACAAACAAATGGTAGCCCTTTATCCAAGTATGTTACTGGCTCAATATCATCACCTTAGGCCTCTTGGTTATTCAGAAGTTGTTTAAGGTTTAAACATATTTGACCCCTGTGACCTTGAATATATGTCAAGGTCATTCATTTGAACAACCTTGGTAGCACTTTATCCCGGCATGCTATTTGCCAAATATCATCATTCTAGGCCTTTTGGTTACTGAGAAGAAGTTATTTAAATTAAAAAATTGACGATGGACAAACGACGGAAGCCGCACCTTGGCATAAGCTCACTTGCCCAGAAGGGCAGGTGAGCCAATGACACTAATTCCTGTGAGAAATCTATGACACACATGATGAATTTGTTGCAGGCATCATAGAACTGAACTGTTGATGGATGTTTTATCATAATCTAGCTAAAACTAGAAAAGTTCTAAAATACATGAATGCTCTCACTGTCGTACAAATTAAAACCATTTTTTGACCTATGAATAGTAACCGTGACCTTGATCTTTGACCTTGAAATACAAATCTATTGAAGCAATCTCGTATTTGTACATAGGGATGTGTATCGTGAGTGATGCTGCGATATGATATATATCATGATACTTGGGTCGCGATATGATACATACACAATATCTGGAAGATATATTAAATGAATATTTAGCAGTTATTTGAAAACTTTTATCAGGCAAGTATATGATAGGTAAAATAAAAAATAATACTAAATACCAAAACGTATAACTTCACTTCTGGCTTAAAATGATAATTTTCAACAACTGAAAACGGACGAAGATCATTAGCAATGTATTTACCAATAATGGTTTATATTGTTTTGAATGGAAACTGCCACATTTCGTCTTTATTTCCCAACATAGAAGTAAGACTGACTTGTTTTGACATATCCTTTTTAATGTTATAGACTTCTAACCGACACTGTAGGAAGATCGAAGTATCGACAATTCATTTCATATGCGTGTGCACGTTCGTGGTATTTCACGCATATTTAAGTTTTCTCCGACATTTATTGCAATAAAAGCACAATGTGTCCGTCTCAAATACATCATTTTTGGATTTAGCAGATTTGAAAGTAAACCTTTGCGAAAAAGGCAACTTGAAATGAGCAGATGCCTTGATGTTTTTCTCGTCATCTTCACCGTCTGCCATTCTGGTTTGTTGAGTGCTAAAACTATTTTTTCTTTGAAGAGTTCCAACAAGGGAGAGTACAAAATTAAAAGTATTGTAGGTATCACGATACAGTTTTGCAGCATCGGTGCATGGTATCGCAGCCCTTGCGATCCAATACATTGATGCATCAGAGAACCGTTACACCCCTATTTGTACATAATTTGACCTAAAACTGCTAAGAATTGAAGTCACAGTAGCAATGACACCAAATCAGAATGGACAGGGCTGAACAGACTTTGTAACATTATTGTCACATTACTAGGTCCCCCTCCACACCAAGAGACCCTTGGTCCCACCATAAGTATGACTGTAGCTCCCCTTACCACCCAATTAATCATTTAAGTAGAGCGAAAACGACATCATAACAAGTGATAATACAAGGATGGAATTACATAGATTATACAGCAGGAAAAACGGTGCATCAAGAAAACATGATAATAACATCAGTTGGCAAGCAATAAGGATCTGGGATTTTGAATTGCATCAAAATGCAATAACACAATACTAATTTTATACTCTCTTAATTTCATTAAGACAGCTTTAATGGAGCTTAAATATACCAAACAGTGGTGGGAATCCATGTTATAGGTCAGTTCAGAATGTTTTTACTCACCCAAGCATAAACCCCCATTCCCATGGAAACCCAAGCAGGAAATGGGCTGCCACTGCCTCTGCACAACATTCAGCCAAGCAAGGAATGAAAGCCAGGCGCAGCACAGTGAACGAGAGTTTGCGGAGAGCCTGGGGGTCAAGGCCCAATCCTGCCCTAATCAGAATCACCGTCAAAGCAATCTGTCTGTAAATACAAAGTTTACGCATGTTTTACTGAACAATCTGTCTGTAAATACAAAGTATACACATATTTTATTGAACAATCACAAAAACATATAAACATTGTATCTATATTGCATTACCTGGTAAACAGAAAAGGCAAAGGGGGAAGAGAAATAATCTTATAATTTTATATTTTTTATATTTTGATTGTTAACAATACAGAAAGATGTAATATTCCTGATGGATGGATGTGAAATCATTAGATTCTGGACACCTGCCATTGGAGGTCACACTAGTGAACCACACTCTAGGCGTGACGTCCTATCATTCTCTTAATGAAACATGCATAATGATAGACCATGGGGAACCTATATGTGAAATCTAAGAAAGATTCTTCCAGTACTTCCCGAGAAACAGCAGTAACAAACTTCTATAGTAAAAAAATAAAATGCTTGCAAACAGCTGTATTGATAAACTAAATTCTCTCTCAGTGTGGCACACACAACTAGGACACGAGATCCTTTCCAGAGAAAAGACCCATTACTATTATCATTATTGGTGACACCTACTAAAAAAATAATTTTATGGGTAACAATTAATGATCAGGACAACACCCACTCCCTACCTGAGAGCTGACGACCAGGGCATGGAAATGGACTCGCCAACAATCTTCACCACCGGGATATTCCTCAACATAGCACCAACCATCAGCATACCTGTACAAAAAATGCAAGATCAAACAAACAAGAGGTCAAGAGGGCCTGTTTTGCTCACCTGAATCTTTATGCCAAGCAATGGAATATTTGGTTATGGGGTGGGGATCTCAACCATTTCAAAGTTGTGGCGCAATAATTAAGTCCCTAAGGGAAGGGCCAGACCTCACGATCCATCCTAATATCATAATTGTGTTCAAATATGTCTTGATGCCAAGCAATGGTATATATACGGTTATGGGTAGGGAATCTCAACCCCTTCCAGAGAAGAAGTCATTTAAAGCAATATGGCCAAATAACTCCTTTTTGGCCCTGCTCCTAAGCCCCCTAGGGGTCAACTGCCCATTTGTACAGTTTTGAATCCCAACTACCTAAGGATGGCCCCAAGCAAATTTGGTTGAATTCCAATCAACGATTATGAAGAAGAAGTTGTTTGAAGAAATTGTTGATAGACAGATGACGGACGGTATGGCATGAAGTCACCTTGGTCTTTGTAACCGGTGAGCTAAAAATGAAATCATCCATTGTTAACCCAAGCAGAATCAAGAAATTTTCTTAAGACTTTTTGTGATCATTATTCATAATTGACCTGTTTACTTGTAAAGTTCAATAGTTCAACATATTATACATTCTTCTTAGGAAACAGTCTCTATTGAATGAAAGCATACCTTGGACCTGTAAATGTATTTTTACAACATGTACAGACTAGATCAGTGTGCTCAGATATGTACTACCAAACATTAAAACTAATACAGTTTTTATTTAAAACTAGAATGATTTATGATAGGGAACAGCTGGCTGAGAATAGATCGATTACACTGTTTCATTGAGTTTAATTACGGGACTATTACACCAAAACAAAGGAGACCAGAGATTGTGTAAAAGCCACTGAACACTTCCCTGTTTACTCATATCTTCTAACTCAAAACTTTAACCAAATCTAGAGCAAAGTTAATATAGAAATTTAGTTTTTCTGTTTTGGCTCACTGCTTTAATGTATGGCCCAAGACGAACTTAAATAATGTTGGGCCATTCAATCAATTCTGTCACTAGTGTGAGGGATCACATGTACAATGTATATAAAGTTTGATCTTTCTATCTTGGCAGAAATGCACTTTCACAATAGCGCTATTCATGATGTAAATGCTGCACAGTAGTCTCCCCTTGGTATACTGGTGAGACACTGGAAGACTGCACTATAGCCAGATCACTCCTACTGTTTCCTAGACAGCTTTTTCTTTGGTCAGTTACTTTACCTGAACATCAGAAGAACTCCAAACACAGCTAATTGCAAATAATTGCAAACTGCCCCACCCTAAATTTCTCTACCTCAGGCTTAATTTTTGTGATTTACATATTCAGGACATCAAACTGATGTAAACTAAAACAGATTGGGTTTAAAAAAGTAAAATTTCTCTACCCTAGACTTAAAATTTTGTAACTTTCAGATAGATTACATCAAATTGAAGAAGCAATAGAAATTGAGGGTTGCCTTCGTTTCACCATAGGATGGTCCATAGTTACCATAATGGTAATATGAACTGCGGTTTATTTCACCATGCTGCGAATTCACAATACCATGCTACACCGGTAGTTGATCATGAGTTATATTGCACAAGGGCGAAGGTCAAGTGCAATATATCACATGGTCAACTACCAGCTACGTGATCAGGGGCAAATAGTTTTGATTATACCAAATGAAAAGCATTAAATGAAAATGTATTTACTATTACAAATGTGATTATAATTACTTGAAAAACTATTAAAGTCAGTTTTTGAAAAGGATATTTTACGAAAGTACATATAGAATAAGTGTTAATGTATATAGATGGCTATAATTTAAATGGACTTACCTAATAAAGGTGGCAGTCTGAAAAAGGAAACCAAGTAGCCACCGACAACTGATGCATAAAAAAGCACAAACAGTGAGAAGAAGTTCCCCCCTGGGAGGGCCTCAGAGTGAGTCAGGGAAACCAGAACTGCCCACGTTATTCCCACTAGAATAAGGAACTGTATGTACCATGCGAGGTTCCCATGGGGAGGACACAGTAAAGAATATTTCAGTCTTTGGGGAATGCTTGGATTTTCTGGCAATTGATGGTTTTTTGTCTGCATAGGTTTCCAAAACCTGTGACAACATTTCCGCAGTCCTACACATCGTTTTGGTGTCTGTATCTCACTCTCAACATCGCTGGATTGTCGGTGTTTGTTTCGTAGTAAACTGGACTCGTTGACACCATCCATTTCTGTGTTAGAATCCTGGCAGACAGCATCATCAGACATGGCCATGTCTTTTTTCATGGATGAGATTTTTCTGTGGGGGAAAAAACCCACACATGTCAACTACTAAAAGTAATCAAAGACATTTTCATTATGATGGCAAACCTGTGTAAAAAGTGTTAGCTATCAAATTGTATAGGATCAGAAAAATACAACAGACAATTAATGGAATTGAAATGCAGGACCTCTGAGAGCTGTTGTCTTAAGAAACAATAAAGCTGCCATATCACCGACTACTGACATACTCCAGGTCTGTTACAGGACCACTACAATTCTCACTCCTTCATCTAATATCTGGAGACAATTTACAAACGTAAGTTCAGGTTTCTCCTTGCCATGCACATACTACCTGCTTGAAACAATTAAAAGCAGGTTTAACAGTTTGTGAAAGGGTGGGAGTCCACTCAAGACCCATTTCATCATTCTAATATGTTAACAAGAGGCCCAGAGGGCCTGTATCGCTCACCTGGATACCTAAGCAATCATGGCAAAATATTTTCCAAATGAGATCCAAGAGAATATGCCAGACCCCAAGGCCAATCCTTGTGGCATATCTGTATTAGATTTTTCATGCCCAGCAGTTTTATGCATGGTTATGGGGTGGGGATCTTAACTGTTTCCAAGCTGCGACTCAGAAACTAGGTCCCTATGGTTGTGGCCAGACCCTAGGATCAATTATAATATCATGACTGCATTTGTCTTTTTTGCCCAGCATTTGTATATATAGTTTTGGGGTGGGGATCTCAACCGTTTCAAAGTTATGACCAAGGGGTTAAGTCTGCAAGGGTGGGGAAAACCCTGGGGTCAATTCTAATATCATGACTGCATTAGTCTCTTTATGCCCAACAATTGCATATATAGTTTTGGGGTGGGGATCTTAACCATTTCAAAGTTATGACCCAGGGGTTAAGACTTGAAGGGTGGGGCAGTCCCCAAGGCCATCCTGGAAGCATATGTGCATTCATCTCTTTATACTCAGCAATTGTAGATATGGTTATAGGGTGGGGTTCTCAACTGTTTCCAAGCTGTAACTAAGAAACTAGGTCCCTAGGGGTTCAGTCAGACCCCAGGGTCTATTCTGATATCATGACTGCATTCGTCTCTTTATGCCCAGCATTTGTATATATAGTTTTGGGGTGGGGATCTCAACCGTTTTAAAGTTATGGCCCAGGGACTATGTCTCCAAGGGTGGGGCCAGACCCTAGGGCCATCATGGAACCAAATGTACATTCTTCTCTTTATACGCAGCAATTGTATATCTGGTTATATGGTGGGGATCTCAACCATTTCCTAGTAATAAACGAATTTTGGCCCCACCCCTTAGCCAGGGTGGTCAGCTCCGACATTTGTACAATTTTGAATCCCTGCCTCCCATGAATGCCAAATATGATTGATATCCATGGCATGGTTCTACAGAAGAAGTCGTTTGTAGCAATATAGCCTTATTGCCCCCTTTTGGCCCCGCCCTTCAGCCCCCTGGGGGGTCAGCCCAACCATTTGTACAATTTTGAGCCTCCACCACCTAGGGATGATTCCAGTCATATATGGTTGATAACCATCTCTTAGTTCAAGAGAAGAAGTCGTTTAAAGCAATATAGCCAAATTGCCCCCCTCCCCCCCATCAGCCCCCTGGGGGGTCAGCCCCACCATTTGTACAATTTTGAATCCCCATCACCTAGGGATGCTTCCAGTCAAATTTAGTTAAATTTCAATCAGTGGTTAAGAAGAAGTCGTTCAAAGAAATTGTTGACGGACGGATGACGGGACGCCACGGTATGGCATAAGCTCGCCTTGGTCTTTCGGACCTGGTGAGCTAAAAAGCTTACAGCTTTACAGAGGAACCCCGCAACATTTTCCATATGTCTTTTGTTACAATTTGACCCCTGTGACCTTGAATGAAGGTCAAGGTTAACCATTTGCGGGGTTTTTTTGTAGCCAAGTATACATGCTATGAATGTTCCAAAATCAACTCTGTAAGACTTTAGATTACAGAGGAGAACAGTTTTAAATGCATTTTTTTGAAAATTTTGAATTCTGGCGTTGAATTTTGTATGCATTTGAAGATCTGCTAGCAGACAAACAGAAAAATATCCTTATCCTCTAGTTTTATTTAAATTATTTCAAGCTCACTCGACACTGTCAGAATGTTCAGCTAAACTTACTGTGAAGGTCACTTGAAACAAGTACTAGGCCTTGTTTGTCAAACTTATTTATTTATTTTCTCTGTCGTTTATCGGGTGATATAAGTTTGTTCTTGGTTAGCTAGTGATATATTTAACTTATTTTTTATTTTTAATTTTCTCTGTCGTTTATCGGGTGATATAAGTTTGTTCTTGTTAGCTAGTGAAATATTTAACTGATTTATTTATTTTCTCTGTCGTTTATCGGGTGATATAAGTTTGTTCTTGGTTAGCTAGTGAAATATTTAACTGATTTACTGATTTATATAATGTTCTCTGTCGTTTATCCTTATCATGCCCAAGATGTATCCCTGCGGTATTTGTGCAGAAAACCGCAATGGTGCTAACAATGTAGCTTGTGATCATTGTGACAAATGGTTTCACTACAGATGTTCCACTTCTGAACAGTGAAGCCATATTGGTTATAGACATATCCGACATGTCAGACTTCCCACCTTTGCCATCACCATCATCATGTGTAAAGACGGAACAAACTTCTCCTCTCCCAGATAAAATATCCAACCATAGTATGTCACCAATTTGTGCTACACCCGACAAGGGTATATGTCACCGATTTCTGTAACACCAACCAAAACTTTGACAACGATTTCTGTCACACCTGACAAGGGTGTGTCACAAATCTCTGACATGTCACCAATTTGTGCTACACCCAACAAGGATATGTCACCATGTGCTGTCATAACACCAACCAAGGCTATGTCACCTCTCAATGAAAGTATTGATGAAGGTGTCATCATGCCTTTCAAAAATTCCAGGAGGTCTGGAGTCTCTTCCTCTGTGCCCCACTCCCATATCACATTTGATAATAAAAACACAACCTCAAACTCAGCTCAAACAACCACAGCTTCTCACCTCGTCAGGTGCACTTGCAAAAGTGAATGATCTGTGTTGTTACGCTGAAATAAACACCTATAAATTAAAAAACAAACCACAAATAAAAAACGTAAATTACCTAAAAGGCTTATAATAAGCCCAAAGGATACACAGGGAGGTTATACCAGGGTGAACTGATACTCGTCTGCCCACGAATTGGTACATACTGAGATAACAGGAGGTCTGGAATCTCCTCCTCTGTGCCCCACTCCCATATTACATAAAATAAATAAATCCAGATAATAATTGTTTTCAATCTTTCCATTTCCAAAAAAGTCTTTCATTACTTATTACATATTATAATATGTACTTATAACTTAATCAATGGACTAACAAATAGCAGTTCAGTAATATGTGTAACATTATTTTTTAAACAATTAACTATTTCAATTGTTTGTAATTTGAGAATTCAATTTGAACAAATGATTATCATTTTATATAAAATTAAATGTGACTAAACTGATGTAAATGTTAACCATTATTATTAATTATGTACAACAAACTAATTAAACAAAAATGACTATATTAATATTAATAGTAGAACCATGGAATTAGATTATCAAAGTCCGTGGTAGAACATAAAATTAGAAACAGAAATAATAAATACAAAAATATTGAAAACATATAACGTAAATATTTGAAATTGATGGCAATTAGTTAAAAATTAAATCATAAAATTAAATAAAATGTGCTCTTATGTAGAACTGCGTCCTCGTCGCAGAGCCCGATAACATTCTTATTATGTATATGATCGAATGGCCAAGAGTGCTACAGGTAGGACCGTACGAGTTACTTCCCTTAAGTAATGCATGTTGCGAAAGAGCTCACATATTTCTTATATTTCGGTACATTCTACTGTTATGATCGACCTGATATTTTGCACACAGCTAGGTAAGTGGAAAATATTTATGAATCAGAAGACAGAAGTGAAAAAAAACTAATAACGAACTCCCGGGCGCGCAAAAACCTCCCAGGAAACTCATTCTTCCCAAATAGGCATCTTTATCGACGTATTTCGGTACTTTTTACTGTTACGATCGTACTTAAATTTTGCACTCACCTAGGTAAGTGAACAATATTTATGAATCAGAAGAAAAAAGTGAACTCCTGGGCGCGCAAATATTTTTCCCAGTACACTCATTTCTCCCAGGACACTCATTAGGGTGACCTTAGCTGCGATAACGTAGTATATAAACAAACAAACAAAATCGACGCTTGTTGTCGGCTCAAGACGCTTTTACTATAAGTGCGAACGATAATTACCATAAAAAGAGTTATCTGAAATGAAACTTCATAATCAAATAGATGTTGTAAATATGATGTTTGTGAAAAGACTACACAGCAATGTTTGATAACAGTCGAGTAACGTTAGAGCGTTTGTTGCCAGTTTTTTTTTTACCTAACCAGACGTTATCACTGCCTTTAATATATATCCACCGCTCAAAATGGAAAATTAAATACATCATGGGATAAATAACTAGCAAAACGTATCGCATCTATTTATTAGAAAGGTAAATGTCGGTGCACATGTTTAATATTTACCTGGAAAACCGGCCTTTCAAGCTGCGGTCGGCCACAAAGCATGGCAATGTTTTGATTGTAGAATTCCGAAACGTTCAGAATGATTTTACCATACAACGTCACAGGTTTTCGTGTATTTATTTACACAATTCCATTCGGAAGATCACGTGCTAATTTTGTTGTCAGTAACTACAACATACGGGTACCTGTGTGTCCTCGAATTCCTATCGTGAAAATTGGAGCCACCATCTTTGTGGATATTGGTCAATGGATTGTTGGATGTCAAACGAAGCATTGCGATTTCCGTCCCGGGAGGGCGTTTGTAGTTGAGACATCTGTGCAGTGAAAATGTACAGATACTCAGGAACTGGATTACATAACCAAATATGGCGATAACTTAGTGGATTTTGGAAAATACGCTATTCTCCGATGCTGGGGAGGCAAATGTTGTCTTTGAGGCGTTGCAATGAAGCCGTAAATTTGTAAGGTGTTCTTTTGTAAATCGTCGTCATAGACGTCGAGGACTATTCCACGATGGAGCTGTATATTGAAACGCTAACGGGCACTTTCTTCGAGCTGAGAGTATCGCCTTTCGAGACGATCATGTCAGTAAAGGCAAAAATACAACGGCTCGAAGGTAAAAAAATAAGCGAATGTCGCTTAACTTTGTTTCCTTATAAGTTATATCTGTAATTAATCAAGTTATGCAGGCGTTATTTATGCCTAATTGTACAATATATTGTTAGCCTTCACATAATTACTGACAGTCTTCGGACATTGTCCGAGGGGGATGGCAGTTGTGAGTTGAAAGTTGAACTAGGCCTAGCTAGTTCAAATCCTTTGTCAGCTGGCTTGTTGTTTATTTACCTACATTGTATATGCAGGGATAATCCTGGGATTTTTGTTGATAATAATAAGGTAAAAAAATTCTCTCTCCTTAAAGCAATGAGATATATTATCTCATGCCAGCACCCGAGAAGCAAAGCAACGAGGCAGGGGGAGCTATAACCCCCTCCCTAAAGGGGGGGGGGGGGATCTCCCACAGAAAATATTTAAACCATACATGCAAAATCCTGCATTCTGAGCACATTATATATTTCAGCTAAATATTTGTACCTTCCAGTAGACTTTGTATATTATTTCACTATTTTGGAAATTAGTTAAACTTTTGAAAAAACACCATTGCATGCATGTCTTAATCAGGTTGGGGAAAACCACCAACTTGCGTATAATATGCAAACTCGCCTTTTATACGCCAGTTGGAGTATGGATTTGTTACTAAAAGTAACCCAAATCACTTTAACAGCAACTTTTGCAAGATTTAATTAAAAATCGCATTAATTTACGACAAGGTAAATAATATTTTGCTAAAAGATGTTTGCTGAAAGCGTTGGCTGCTTAGAAAGGCTACTTAGAAACTTGATGTTACTTTACCGGAAGTATTGCATCTATTTTAGGTACTTTCCTACATGCAAATAAAGTTTATTTTTGCATTTGTATTATGTTTCATGACTGAATAAATGCGACTTGGACAAACAATTTGAAAAAGTTAAGATTTAAGTGATTTTGGCTATTTTTAGTAACCAATCCATACCCCCTATTGGCGTATAATAGGCGAGTTTGCGTATTATACGCAAGTTAGTGGTTTTCCCCAACCTGTTAATTGGAAATGAAATATGTGATGATGAAATTAGCTATTCCAGTCGTAGTTGAATAAAAGCACATTTTTGGAGAAAAAAGAGGCACAATAGAGTAAGGGTACATGATTTCGTACAGGATGTGATTTCGTACACTAAATATTTTTTTCTTAATTTTTTTTTCCCAATCTCTTTCGATGGAAGCATAAAATAGCTCCAACATTTTATGGTTTATGTTGCGTATCATGTAACACGAACACCAAGTCAAATGTTACGAAAAAAACACGACTTATATTTCCGATTATATTATATTACCCCAAATAGATTTCAGTTGCAATTGGGGTGGCTAAGATTATTAATTTATCCTCATGATCACAGCCAGTATACATAAAAGGGTTGAAGTGAACTTCGATGAGGGTATGGACCATGTTTATTATTCGTTCGTAACAAAAGCAGGAGAAATGTTGATTCCTGTTACGATCGTAACACAAATGTAAATGTATAGGTAGGTAGCCAGATTTATGTTGTGCTTATAAGGCATGCCACAGGTTTCATCAATTCACGAAAAAAAGTAATTTTGATAGATTTAAATCACATATCACAATGTTCACCATGCGGTAAAATAATATCTGTTCGTTGCTGAAAGACACCATGTCTAAAATGTCATCTTTGTTACGACCATCACAAATTTATCGCCAGGAGACGTCAAAAGCCGATGTCATTTAAAATATCAATGCACACGAACAGTGTCATACACTTTCTTGCTATTTGTGTTAGATAGATAGCATAAACTGGTCACCTCAAAAAATCACGGGAAAAAATGACCTGAAAGTTCAAAATGGACGTATACGTAACATATCACCACTGGACAGGACGTGGTTGTCATTCAAGCCAGTATGCAAAATAACAAACAAGTGTGCACGGTCTATAACCCACCAGAGGAAAACACCCACTGCAGGCACCATCTAGGTCGATCTATATTTAGATTTTAGGTTTTCCCGTTACTTTTCTTGGGACATGTTTTGTTCATAACGATTTGGACGACAATCAGGATGCCGATGTTCATTGCAATGATTATCTTAAGTTTAACGAAATTTACAGCAAGACAATGCCTCCTTTCTTTTTTAGTGATATTGATGCAGTTTGTGTAAATTTCCGTATGAAACTATCATTATTTACATGAAAAAGATTTATCAGAATGTGAACAGGAAAAGGGACACAAAGAGTTACGATTCGAACAAAACGACTTCCTTCAATGTCCTAGTTTTCTTCATTCTGTGCGAGTATGTACAATTTTAGTACTCCAGTACATGCATTGATCATATCTTTTCTTTAGATTGTATTATTCTTTTCATAATAATAGGACACTCTGTGATTTGTACAAAGGTCTTTTTCAACGCCTCGCTTCAATGTCACAATTCGGACTGAAAAAACATGGCCAATTTCGGCGATAATTTCCACAGGTTTTTCTTTTGCTTTTGGAACTTATTCAAACATAATCTGTTTTTATCTCTTTGAGACATACTTAAAACAATGGCAGTGTGAAATTTCACAAGTTTATTCAAAATAAGTGGCAAAGTCCAAAAAAACAGAGGTACTCTCATTTGAACCAATACCAAATTTTGCCTCATATACATGAACAGACTGAAAACGAATTTTTCAAAATATAGGATTTTTCATGAAATATTTCAGTCTCTCTTCTCTCCCTATTTGCAATTATTATATTATGAATTATGTACTATTTAATAATAGCGATGGATGTACATGTATTTATCTTTCTTTTTTTAGTCACCCCTGAGGGAACCTCAGCGGGGACTATTAATTTTGGTTTCAGTCCCAGATTTTGACCTCTGTTACCGACCACTGTTAAGGTCTTTCGTGTGTTTGCTTCTGTCGCTAATTACAAGCTCTTGGATAACTCGGATATCAATTTTCCTTTAAAAAGGAATAGATCTAGATCTAACATACAACCTAAAGGCGTTCCGAATTTCAAACTGAAGATGTTCCAAATATGAACCAGGCAGCTTTGAGGTTCCCGAAGGGGTAGACTGTTATATTACATATTGCTATTGTTTGATTTAGATATTTCATGTAGTATATATAGTGTTGTGCCAATGATCGGGAATAAACGATTAACGGTTGGTTGGAGCTTCATCCGATTCCGATGATCGATCTTAGTCTTCGTTTAATCGATCATCGGTAGATCCCGGTCGAACGTGCCTATAATAGTAAGCAAAACGAACGCACCCAGCAATGGTATGGAACAACTGGACTTATTACTCAGTCCCATTTTCTGACTTTGCAATGTGGAATGGTTGTTTTAAACTGCACACCTCTGATATGAATGTATCTCGCAGGTCAAACATCTTTATTCGTATGCATATATATATATATAGGATCTGAAGTGAAGGCTATCAAACACATCATCCATATTGATAAAACACAGACTTGTAGAATATGAATACTAAATATTTTCTTTTAATTCTATTTGTTCCATGTTTATCAAACATTTTTTAATAAATATTAATTCAGTGATTAAGTGACATGTTGTTCCCATCTTTTCCTGAAATGATCAGTGGGTCTAGATCTATCAGTGCACCATTTAGAATAATATGGACCATGCATACCCAAAACATGATGAGCCCTAAAAAAACTACATAATATATTGATATACATATAAATATATAGAGAATAAAAACATAAATTTTTCAGATCGTCCGCTAGGCCTTTCTGCCTTCTAGGGCTTCTTCAGGCGGATTCCAGAAATATATATTTATATATATTTATAAGAAATGTTTATTTCCCATGACAATGTTTTTATAGGTAAACTTATTTATTATGTCTGTGATCGATGATGATGATTCAGCATTTCTATCTGACATGTCAACATATAGTGCTCGGCTATGTCACCAACACATCAATATCTTTGTCACTAATTTCACGCAGGTTCAATTCGTATATATATATCTCGTCAACGGAAATGTAAAGTGTAAGTACAGCACATGACTGCTTCCTCCTTCCGTAGATATATATATATATAATGACAATGTCAATATGACAGATATTCCACATTTAAAGTGATAATGCACATTATCTCGGTGGTTTAAAGGTTAACAATTATAGACGTGCAAGACTCATGTCACGTACGTAGTCTATTGTGAGTGGTCTAGCTGTTTCATGCTGGTCACTAACTGCAGCCACACTGTTTGTTATATTATACATAATGAAACATTACTTAAGTATGTACACCCAAGGGGGGAAATAACACTTTTAAATGACATATTTTGAGCTGTTCTTGCAGATGAAATCACCCGATCTTAAAAAAATTGTATAGTTTATAATATTTTGAGCTGTTCTTGCAGATGAAATCACCAGATCTTAAAAAAATTGGATAGTTTATAAATAGGCAATATTTTTTTACTGATTGAAAATGCACAATTTTAGGGTCCAAAATTGGGAGTCTCTTTCCTATTGCAAGTTTGCCTGATGTATATATATGAAAAGGTAATTATATAAAAGTAACAATGTTAATCACATCATGCCAAAGTAACTTACTATTATAATCGACTTTTCAAAGTGATGTGTGTAGGTGATCAGTGTTATTTACAATGTGCTACAAATGACAGCCAATTGATTCAATCGATGCAATGTACTAGTACTGGTGTCAGGAAACAAGGTTGGCGTACCATGACAGTGTTCCAGGTAGAAGTTGAAAAGGGCAAGATTAACGGTGCTGTCCAAAAAAGGGGCTTTCTTTTTTTGCCTGCATGGCTCAAATTAACAGAAAAATTCTGTGTCGCCAATTGGTTTTGATGTTACCCAATTTTTCACCCACAACTTTAAGTGTAATTTCAGATAGATGATTTATCAAGAACTTTATATATCTGGTACTTATACACTGGTACATACCTGTTACTGGTACTCACACTGGTACATATATACCTGGTACTCATACTGGTACATATATACCTGGTACTCACACTGGTACATATATACCTGG